GGGACCCCCGAAACCCCCACCTCATCATCATTGACGTAATGCACCTCGTCAAAGATCACCCACTCCAAATCCCTGATGACGTCAGAGCCGTTGTACAGCATCGACCTGGGGGCGCAGGGGGGTGGGGGGGGTGAATCCGGGGGGTCCCAACCCCTCCCCAGAAGCCCCCCGGACCCCCCCTCACCGCAGGATCTCGGTGGTCATGACCAGGCAGGCGGCCTCGGGGCGCAGCTGCACGTCCCCCGTCAGCAGCCCCACGTCCCCAAAGGTCTCCCGAAAATCCCGGAACTTCTGGTTGGACAAGGCCTTGATGGGGGACGTGTAGATGGACCTGGGGGTGAGGGGGGGGTCACCCCAAAAAGCCTCAGCACCCCAGGGACCCCCGGGAGGGGTATGGGGGGGGTGTGAGAGCGGCCAGGAGGGGTTTGGGGGGACACAGGGAAGGGTTTGGGGTTTCTCAGGAAAGGTTTGGGGTCACTCAGGGAAGTTTTGGGGTCTCTCAGGAGATATTTTTGGGGGGAAGGGTTATAGGAGGGGGACACAAGGACGGGTTTGGGGATCCCAGGAAGGTTTTGGGGTCACTCAGGAAAGGTTTGGGGTCTCCCAGGAGATATTTTTGGGGGGAGGGATATAGGATGGGGACACAGGGAAAGGTTTGGGGATCCCAGGGAAGTTTTGGGGTCACTCAGGAAAGGTTTGGGGTCACTCAGGAGATATTTTTGGGGGCAGGATTATAGGATGGGGACACAGGGAAGTTTTGGGGTCACTCAGGAAGGTTTTGGGGTCACTCAGGAAAGGTTTGGGGTCACTCAGGAAGGTTTTTGGGGGGAGGTTTATAGAATAGGGACACAGGGAAAGGTTTGAGGATCCCAGGGAAGGTTTTGGGGTTTCTCAGGAAAGGTTTTGGGGTCACTCAGGAGATATTTTTGGGGGGAGGTTTATAGGATGGGGACACAGGGAAAGGTTTGGGGTCACTCAGGAAAGGTTTTGGGGTCACCCAGGAAAGTTTTGGGGTCTCTCAGGAGATATTTTTGGGGGTGGGATTAAGGATAGGATTGGGGTGTCGAGGGTTTTTTGCCCCCCCTCGAGGTGTTTTTGGGACCCCCGAAGTGATTTTGGAGACTAAAAAGGGGATTTGGGAACTCCTGAGGTGGATTTGGGGTCTCTAGAGGTGATTTTTGGCCCCCTCGAGTTGTTTTTGACCCCCCCAAGGT